CTTATGAATGGCCTCTTCTGTGAAGGCTGCAAGCTGAGTCTGGCTGCTGTTTGATGAGATTCTTCTATTCCAAGGAGAAAATGATCCTATTTCCTTTGCTTTCACCATATTCCCACATCTTTGTGCCGAGCGTGTCGAGAGGTGGAGTTCCACTGGCAGGGACAGGAAAGATGCAATGCTACATGTTTTGCTTTTGTGATTCTCTCAGGATTTATGAACCATTACAGAATGACTCATGCAGCCACATATTTTCCATGCCTCAGCCAGGATCCTTTCCATACTCTGTATGCAAAAAATTAGACATAATCAGGTTCAGATAGTTTGCAAATCGCAGCCCTGCTTCCTATGGCCGGGTCTCTGGAGTGGAGCAGAGTGAGGTTACTCCTTGCTGTATCCTTCATTTTTCAGATGCTGTGTGATCTTTAGTGACTGCTTCAGATGGAGAACAGCTTGCTTGAAAATTCTAATGCCAGAGGTTTGTCACGGCTTGTTAACATCTCTTTAAGTCGTGTGATCCCTGCCCTGTGGGGTAACAATTCGGTTTTCAAGTAATTCATTGTGCAATAGATCATCTCCTGGGAGAAGGCGCTCTTTTATTCCATGGCTCTGAACCCAGAAGATGTAATGCTGGAAAACAGGCAAGGGATTTTCAAGCTCAGAGGGAGGGTATGAGCACAACCTGGCCTGTCCCATACATCTTTTAGGCTTGGAAGAGCAAACTGTGGTAGGCAAATAATGGGCTTTGCCGTTTCTGCTCTGTTCCAGTGGCTCCAGAGAGTTTGTCAACTGCAAGGCAGCAGGTTGTGAAGACACAAATCTCAGTGCAGCGAATACCTGCCCCAGGCTGAGCTCGCATTCGAGAGCCCACGGCCTGCGGAGGCAGCAGCTCTGCCTTAGCGCCAGCAGCATGCAGCATTTCCACCGGTGTCAGCACAACCTCACATTTTCCATGAATGCGATGCTGCCCCTGCCTTTCCCAGCCACTGGGTGTGCAACATCTGAGCCTCCTCAGAACCGCAAGGCACAGAAAACTCTGCTTTTGAAATAGAAATGATGGTTTGAACCAGGATCCCCCACCCCACATTTGTCTTTGCAGGCTCTGGCACGTCCTGACTTTGCCATCACTCCAGCTCCCTTTCCTCTCGCTTTGCCAGGTCTCTTACCACCACCCTGAGACTCTCCATGAAATAATGACACTGGGGTAGAGGCTACTCTGCCTGATCCAGACATCAGCCCTTCCCAGTTCTGCATCTCAGGTGATGCTTTTTGGATCCATCCTATAGCACAGGTATGGTTTAGAATCACTGGACTTTAATTTAGTCTTTAATTTTGATGAGTGGAAGGTAGACTGTACTTCTAGTTTCATTAAGGTTGAGTTAGTTCTAATCCAGAGGAATGGCCAAAGCATGAAGAAAAGCTCAACTCCTGTTTACACACATATTTAAGATGACCTCTCACTGGTTCTTTCTCTCTGCGCATCACTGTGATATGGAAATCAGACCTAAAATATTAACGATGGAATTCAGGTACTCCCTTTAGCAATTCTTAATTTAATTTAGAAAACCATTAATTCTTATTCCATCCTGCAAACATGAAAGGTATTTTTAAGCTGTCTTTGTCACTGCCAAAGCTCTCCGCTTGCTGAGAGCTCCAGCAGCTCTTGGGCGATGTCAGCTCTTGCTGTCCCTCCTCTCGAGCACAGGGAATGTCTTCTTTGTGAGCAGGCCAAGATCTCTGCAAGAAGACTTGTGTAAAGTGGGCTGTGTCCTCGGAGATGCTACTACCATAATTCTAATAAAATTATTCCATGCAATTTATGCATCAGAGGATTGTTATTGGGAAAACAACAGTTTGTTTCCCTGTGAGCAAGTACTACGCTGTGCAGAGAGCAGAGTTATGCATACCCTTTTGTTATGGCAACGGAAGTGTTGAGAATGATGTAAAGGAAACTCCTATCAGATCTGGGTCACATCACTGCAGCTTAATTTGCAAAATCTACATGTGTTCATTTGTTGTGCGGAGCTCACAGCGAACACAGTTAAACATGTTATTACCCAGGAATTTGGGGAGGTTGAGGGAAAGGCGGGTGGAGGGTTATTTTCATGGCTGCAGTTGTATTGTCTTAACCTGTAGCAGATGTGCTCTTAGATTTCAGCACTGGAATCAGTCGCTTTTCTGTTGTATTTAGCATGCAAGTATGTATTTTTGCACCACAGATGGCAAAGGTGCTGCTAGAAACAAACCAAATGGCAAAAAAAGAAGGGCTTTGGGGCCACTGTACAATGTTTTCTTTTGAAACTTATCTCTGCATGGAGCAACTGTGCCACCCCATGGACTCCTGTGCTCTCCAAGAGAGGGGATCTCCTATTGCATGCTACTTGTAGGAAATTTATTTTCCTTTTGTGTTAGTTTGTGTGGGTAAATGTAAAGATTTGCTGCCTGCTGGGCCACATATCAATCATGACAGTCTGCAGCCTGTCTTGCAACTGCTTGAAGGGAAGTTCAACTAACATTTCAATTGCATTTTTCTACCACTTAAAATTCAGTTCCAGGTGCAAGACAGTCAATTCTGGGGACTGTCAGAAAGTTTTAATACGTTTAAAACAACGAGAGCTGCAGACTTTTAAAATCCATATTTTATTTTACTTGAATGTGCAAATAAATATAAAAAAAACTACATTCAAAGAGCTGGCAAAGCAATTACAAGCCCAAAAGCAAAGATCCTTCAAAAAAAATGGAAGAATGAACTCTTGAATCAAAGTTGCGGTAGCAGATACACAGCGGTCGAGCTTAAAACTCTCAGACGTAATTAGCAAGCCACTCTCAAACCTGCCCTGCCTGCTTACTCCATTCACGTCATTTGCCACTATCGTTTTTGAGACAATAGCACTGTGAAGGGAAAAAGTGTTACTTAATCTGTTCAGATTATAAATTAAGGTTTACAAAATAAGGATGCTTAAAAATACCTGAAGTACACTTAAAAATGGGGAGATGGAACGGGACGGTGCGCAGGTGTGTTACCCTCTTACACCTTCGTACATTTGGAATCAAAAGCATTTTAAGCCACAAGTTGCAACCTATTTTCTAGTAAACATTTGTCTGTATCGTAAAATCATAAAATTTGGCACAGTAGTCATCTCCACTGGAAGACAGCAGAGAGGTGAACAGGGCTGAGGCGCATTTTGAGCTGTCTGGAAACAAAACGGAGGATTCTGTGCTTTGCATGGGGCTTGTCCCCCCACTCCTCCACCCAGCCCTCGCATGGTCAGCATCTTTAATCACTGCAACAAGAGCAGGGGAAGAACCTTCACACCATTTCAGTAACCAGAATTTAACAGGGACCCAGACAACGAGAACACGAGTTCTTGATGAAAAGTCCTCTGCTGGCAGTGGTTGTGCAAGTGGCCACAAATGCCAGAGACGGGCCTCCCTCCTTCCCTCCTACGGATTATTTTGCAAAAAAAGACAAAGAGTCAGTACAGTTTTCTATTAAACGTACCCCAAAGGCCAATTTTTTCTTCTGTCAAGTGAGACAATTGCAAAACCAAATGTTGGACAGTGGAAATAACCCACGACAAATCATACAGGCTGCTACTTAGGTCTGGCAGAAATTGTAACCTAGAAATCAAAGCCACAGAAATTATCAGGGTGAAGGGGGATTATTCCCCCAGAAGCCAGGAAAAAGTTGGAAGCAGAGCTGAAAGGAGGTCAAGACATGATGTTTGTGATACACTCCAGGGCCAATGTGCTTGTCCTTGGCCCTGGAAAACAAGAACGGAGCCACTGTGGGGTTGCAGGACAGTCACAGCTAAATTTTCTTGATTTTTCAATAGATTAAGTCAGACAACTGACATAGTGTTCTGCATGGTTCGGGGTAGTTTTTTTGTGTTAGGTTTAATTTCAAAAAAGCTTCGATAGAAGTACGACGGTTCAGTGGAAAAGCTTGTCCACGATGGTTGTGGTCGGATCTAACACTGCCCGTTACAGATTTCCATGTGTCACTGCAAACACAGCATCTGTGCTGACCCAGCAGAAACAGCAAAGAATCTGGGACAAGCCTCAGCTCCGGTGCTAAGGCTGTGCTGCAAGAGCTCCATCTACTGCTGTTACTTCAGTGGTACAACCCAGCAGAACCACGGAGTCCGGGTGTGCCGAAGGAAAAGCCAAGTGCCTGAGAATGCAGTCTCCAGAGGCTGCCAATCAACATGCAAAATACATTAAAAAAAACAAACCAAACCAAAACCAAAATAGACCAGACCTCACACTGGCTATTCCTTCCCCTGCACACGCTCCGAACAGCTCCAGATTGGAGAAGGCAGAGTCTGCAGCAAGGTCATCAGTTCACAAAGCAACACCACAGGATCCGGTGCGCATCTGCAGAGAGGGAGCTAACGGGCCTGGGCTGTCTTGCGCCGCAAAACACTCTCTTGCCTTGCACTGCAGCTCAGAGAGCTTCTTCCCCTTAGTTCATGCTTCGAAATACTTCAATAAGGAGCAAGAGTTAGAGTGTTCAGTACACCGTTCACCCTTCTCTCAGTTTTGGCATTTTTCTCATCAGAGCACCAGAAACAAATACTGCATTCATCACCTTATTAGCACACAGAGATAACAAAGCAACCCATAGCAGGGCTGGCAAACTGCACCAGGTGCTCTCAGCCCCGCTGGCACTGAAGCCCCGCTCCACTGAAGAGTTCTGCAGGCTCTGAGACGGCACAAATTCAGGAAGATGGGGAACATTAAACACTTTGAAGTGGAAGCAGCTGCCAGCATCTGCTCAAACACCAGCCCAGCTCCATCTCCAACGAAGCCACTAGTGGTAGTTCGCCCACAGCCTGAGCCCCTCACTCAGCTTTCCAGTATTGGCTGCTCAGCAGTGGCCTACAGCGAGGAAATTACTAAATGTGTGTGGCAATGCCAAGAGCCCTCTTCTGATAAAGCTTTTAAAAGTCTCTTCGTGATGGCTGGAGAATTACACTGCAAGGAGACAAGTCTATGCCATATGGAAAATACATCATAATCCAAAGTAAAATGCTGTTTGGATAAATATCATTAATACATACATTGCATTCCCACCACTATTCTCAGAGTAAATGTGTTCACCAGCAACGCTCCCACTTGTATTGGTCCCAGAAACAAGTCTCTGCTCACGGTGAAGCTGGACGGCGACTGTACTGAACTCTGTATCTGTTCACTGGGACCCCGTGGACGTTCACCGTCTCACACGTTGTTTTACAGGGCACCATCTCCTCGTCTTCATCTCCCATGAGCCAGTCTTGAACTACGTCAACTGCCTCCATGGTCACATTCTCTTCTAGCCACCTACTGTGCCACTCTTCAAACTGCTGGTGATGCTTTAGCAGCACCATTGGCTGTACCTGTAAGCAGGACAGTAAAGATTACTGAGAGGTTTCTGAGGGAGAAGCCAAAACCCTCACCTCCGCATGCGTTGTAAATCACACACATCTCAGACACAACACAACACAACACAACCAGTAAAACAGGAAACTGCATACCTGCATTTAAAGATCTCTATTTCTTAACGTCTGCCACTTCACCTTAAAATTTGCACAGTAAAGAAAAGGCTGCTAAACTAAACCAGAGTACAGAGCATTTACCAGCTCTCCTCCATGTCTCATCCAACACAGAGCAGTAACTTCTGGGTGTAGTTTGCAGGAGTTTAGCCACAAGACTTTGGTACCTGTCTTTTGGCTCACATTCTCAACCTCTGCTACCGCCTGAGCTGCAGAGAGAGTAATAGGAGATGCACCTGCTTGGCCCGGCAGAGAGCTCCCCGCCTGTACATGTAATCCTCCGAGTTCATGATGAACATCATCTTGTGGGTGTTGAGCTTGAAGCGGCAGTCCACGTTGCAGGCACTTTCCACCCCAATCAGCCTCTTCCAGGAGCTCTTCACTTCACTACGCAGAGCCCTCACTTGCTTACATTGCCACTTGCGAAACTTTTTTAGGTTTCTAGAACAAAAAGGGATTATGAAGCATGTGTCACACTCGGTTATCCATTCTCTTAAGCCAGCACAAGCTGACAGCACAAGTATGAAATCTGTATTTCACATTTAGTTTTCAGACTTTCTCCAGCATCTTCCTCCATACACCCTGACAAATATTTAGTGAAATGGGAACAAATTAGATCTCAAATTCCTCCCAGAAGGGACTGCTTAGATAGTCCCACTCCCTTCTAAACAGTTTGATGAACAAACCTCAATGCAGTGGTTAATTTTTTTCTTCAGCATTCTTATGCAGTGCACTGGACTACCCCAGCCCCTTTGGGCCTCAGAGATGAGTGCACCTCCCTAGAGCTGCTTGTATGGCAATTCCCCTACAGCCACTGCTGTGTACGCAGAGGAAGCAGTCCCAGCTGCTGCAGTGGGGACTCAGAAGAGGGAGTGCACTCACCTTTGCAGGAAGACCGGTTTCAGTAAGAAGCCATCGTTCTGGTTGTTTGGAGCTCCTTCTACCCCAACATACTGCTCCATGTAGTTAGCCAGGTGCTACAAGAGAGAGACCAATTTCAAGTCAGATTTTGCTCTTATCAACACAAACATCACTGCAAAGAACTAGTTTGTTTCCAAGCTGCTTTTTATGAAGCTGATTTATGCTGAAACTCTTCTGCAACATAGCCATTTCTGTCAATGACCACAGCCCTACATGTAATCTTCCCACTTTCCAGGTCAACTTCTCCTCCTGGCCAAGTCTCATAGTTTGGAATAAGAAAGTGGAAAAGCATTCTTAGACATCCGCTTTGTCTGTGGTACAACAGACTCCATGGTCATTGTGATATTACCTGGACCTCCACAGGATCTTCTGTCTGGGTTTCTTCCGTATCAAGAAGCTCAATGGTCATGATCACTTGTCCTTTCCGCTGAAGAAACATCACCTGTAGTAAAGTCACAGGCACAAGCTATTAGGAACATGGGTTCACCACAAAATGCTGTATATTTACAACACATCATTTGGACAACAAATATGAGCTAAGAGAGGAGTAAGCAGCAGGGCTTTTCAGGGAGCCAGAATGCCATGCTCTGGTTTTGGTGCCTTCTCTTCATATTGCTCTCTGTCACCATTGTGGCCTTGGAGCTTTCCAACGCATCTCTCCCAGGTAAAGTGCCACAGTCACTTTATGAAATTCCCTGGCAGCAAGTTCTTACCTTGAAACAGTTTTCATCTGCCATGCAACGTTCAGCCTTCCACTGATAGCTGGTCTCCTTCGCTGCCCGGACACACCTAGAGGACAAGTTACCTCCAGCAGCACCTCGCTTCCTTTCATTCAAGTAGAGCTCAACAACCTTCAAGCAGATGTCGTCGCTCACTAGATGGTGAAGCTTCCATTAAAAAAGGGGGAATTCAGTCAGCAAGTCTGGGCCAAGAGTTAACTCGAGTGTGTTATGAAAGGAGCACAAAACTCAGCACAGCATCACACCTCAGATGAAGCAGCAAAGTTTTAACTCCAGAGACTTCACACATCTCACTCTTTTCATTACTTTGCAATAAAAGGAACAGAGAAGAGTGAGGGGCTGATGTGCCTTAACTGTAACAAAACTACAACTAGAGGACAGATTTGAGTAAAAAGGACTGGATGGGGGGGGTTGCCTTCAGTGTATTTTGAGAATGGCAGAATTTTGAAAGACCAGAACTCAAAAAATGTTGGAAAAGGCCAGGAAATCTCCTAAGGTGGTCCCTGTACTGAAGCTGAACTATCTCACTGAACTTCTATTAGAAGTTCCCCTACATATGTAACTTTTCTGTGAATTTGCTTTAAGTTTAGTTGAGTCCTTGCATTACAGGGTACTGTAAGAACCCTGTCTGTCTATAGAAGGGAGATGTGCAGCTCCCCAAACACACAGCACAGCCATCACAGTAGTTACCTGGCGGACAATGTTCTGCACCAGCTTGTCCATAGTAAAGCCAATATAGGCGTGGATAGTGAACATCTCCCTCAGGGTGTCCTCGTACTGCGTTGGGTCAATATTTCCATCCAGCAGGCTCCTCACCATATCCAAGAACGCAGGGTAGTACTCCTCCAGTTCCACCTCACCTGGGTAGGGGCAAAGTGCAGTCATTTAATGCATGTAAATGCCAGAGTAAAGTCAAGAGATCCAAGGGACAGCACTGCTCAAGAACCGTGATGTTCGGTATCGAGAACATGCTTACAGACAGACAGCTCTCTGCAAGGAGTGCTAATGGCTCTACCAGTTTCATCTCATCCATGACTGCCTTCTGTAGTTAACTATTTTGTTGTAGAGCCATTTACATTTTAAATCAAAGTAACAGATTAATACAAGACACCTGAGAACATGAGACAGCAGTGGGCTTACCTGAAGTCTCCATGAACTATGCATGAGAGCCTCAGAAGATAAATTACAAAGTAGCTATCCTGTAAAATTAGCTGTATCCACAAATCACAAATACAGTGGAGTTATGTACCTCTACATTCCTACAGACTTGCCTGCTGGTCTCAGCTACATGCAACTAAGCATCAGCAACCAGAGCATTAAACATGGACTATGTCCTGGGTTATTCTTACTTGGTTGCTTCAGTCTTAGTTCCATGGCTGGATCATTGGTTTTTTCTTTTCTTCCCTCACACAGGAGTTTCTCTCTCTCTTTTTCAGTCCGATATTCTAGAAGCTGCTTCTGAGCTTGGCGATAAATCTTTAGGAGCCTTGAGCACAGAGTCTGGTGAAGGCGGAGGAAGAAATACCAATTATTATTGACAAAGAATAGACTGTAAACATCATCCAGGGTGTTGTGGGGCTCAGCAGCTGTAACATCACAGAAGGCTGCTTTTGCCTCCAAAGGACTGCTCGGTGGCCCAGGCACATTTTTTTTCCGTAGTTCAGGAGTATCCAGGTTCTGCCCCTGATGGTTTTCTCTGTCCTCATCTGTCGATTCTTCAGAAATACTGTGCTCAGGGGGCTGAGAGAAAAACAGCTCAGGTATGAAGTGATGCACTATCTGCCGAATGGTTGCTTGATCCTCCTTTTGGATAGTCGGCTGCCTTTTTACATAATAGCTGATAAGAGACGCTGCATCTTCCAAAATCTGCTTATCTTCATAGATAAAGATAAGATGAGGCTCGTTTGTGGATGAACTTCTCCCCTCTGAATGCTGCTCCTGATGCTGTAATCAAGAGACAAATAGATAAAGATCCTTCCAATCCATGCTCAAGAGCCATTCCTGCCAGAAGAAATAAGCCAGTGTTAACGCTATGCTTGGAGCAGACATTTTTGACTGAGAACTCTTCAGAGCACTACCACTTCAACAAGGTCCCAGGTGCTACGGAAACATCTAGATAATACTATAAATGAAGGACACACAGGATGAATTATTTACCAGTATACGTACCTCATCATAGACACTCTCAATTTCATTCAGCAAGCTCTTGGATCGCAAAGCTTTGGTATCATTTTGTTTGAAGTTGACGGCCTGATGGTCAAGGGACTTCAAGTAGGCTTTCTCATACTGCTCCCGCCAGATTTTGTTGAAGCCCTGCTGGGCCTCTCGCCATTCCTCCTCTTTTGCTTTCAATCTGCATAAATGTATAATCTACTTCAGTTCCAAAAGAAACCACAGAAAGGCACACAAAGCATTTTTAATGTAGCCAACTGTTATGCCCCAAAAGCTTTTCAGCATCCCTGGAAACGATAAATAAATCAATAAAAGCACCACCACTGAAGATGAGTTATCCTTTGAAACAACATCTACAGAAAACAGTTGTTTAAAAACGCTTGAAAAATCTTTTATCTGTTTCTTAAAGAACCCAGGTGAACCCTGGAGAATGGGAAATACCTCTTCAGAACAACAGGAACTGCAGTTACTGGGTTTTTCTTAAGACTTTCAATGATCTCTGGTGCTTTATCACCATAGATGCGATAGATGGCCCTGCGCTGGATCACTTCTGATGTTCCTCCTAAGCAATCATCCAGTCGAAACTTCTCCTGATCCTCTTGAGTCAGTCGAGATAGTTTTTTCTGCACGCTCTCCAGCACACGTATTGTAGCTAAATTGGTCTCCAAGACAACATCCAACTGTTAAGAGTTCACAAAAAACACCGTATAAGAACAGGCATAGCAGGAAAATGGAGACCAGCGGCACGCAGGTTTGTGGCATGCATTCCAACCCCACTGGGTGGAGCTAAGAAGCATCAGCAAGGTTTCTTACTGGAAAAATGGTATACCCTCTGCCAGTTCTCCCAAAGGTAGCATCCTTTTAGGAACTGGACTCATGCCTAGAAAGGACTATTAGATTCCAAGCAAGTGGAAAACACCAAATTCTAGCTCAAACCAATGAATAATAGAACTTCCAGTAACTGGCCACCAATCAATTCAGCCAATATCCTCATAACTGGAAGTTTTTCTTCCTGAGGAGACAGATGGGCAGAAAGGAAGCTCAGAAGCAGAGGCACCTCAAACCGCTCATCTTCACAGCGGTGCAACTGCTCCTCATAAGGAGTCTTCTTGGAGCTGACAAAAGTGGAGTCTTCAGACCAGGATGGAAATGAAACCCAGGTATCATTTAACACCTGCAACAGAGCAAAGACATGGCATTGAACAGAGACTTGTGAGCCCAGAGCTGCTCTTGTGGGGTCTAGTACTCATCTGGTCAATTTTTGCACAGTTCTTCCCTGAATATCTATTGGAAGTTTCAGACCTAGTTCCCAAGTAACTGTCATGACTGCTCCAAAGATTAAAAGTCTGTGTGAAACTGTGCCAGGGCTCTGCTCGGAAAGCTCGAAAGCACCTTCACTGTCATCTCACAAACCAAAGACCACTCTGCAGTAATCAGCAACTGTAAGTACAGGAGACAAGAGTTGCCAACAACAGCCAGAGGTGGGAGCACCTATGCTGCAGATGTCTGTTCTCAGTGAGAACAGTGCCCAAGACATTGGGTCATAGTGCTCTTTCAGGAGAAAAAGTGTTTCAAAAGGCCATACTGGTCCACTGCTAGAAAATTAATTTCAGGCTATTTAATATCCTTTTCTGTTTATAGGAATAAATTTGTGTATGCACACAGACCCAAAAGACATTAAAGTATGTGATTTGAGATAGGTTTAGATAAAATTAGTAAAATTCATGTGGATACTCTTATTTCAGTAAGTTGGATGAATAACTGATGTGAGGTTAAAGCTGGCTAATCAGCACTGAAGAGGGGAATCCACATGCAGAGGCTGTAGCAGTAATAACCCCACTTCAAGTTACGTAAGCACAATGTGTGTTCAGGGACTGAACAGGTTGATCCCAAAGTACCTCCTTGCAAATAGCTGTTCTTCCACTGCACTTTGGCTGCTGATAGGTTTTTGGGAGAGCCCGGTAACTTGATCCTATGCGTTTGCAGGAAGCATAATCAATTTCCCGACTCATTCCATCCCCAGATCGGTCGCTCAGTGGAGAAGCAAACGAAAGCTCTTTCACTCCAAGAAAGGACTTGAACTGTGCAAAGAGTTCTGGGAATTTCCTTCAAAAACACAAGTAAGCGTATTTTGTTATTTCACTCTGACGGTTTTAGGGTGGCTAATGCATGTCATAAAAGTGAGGGAGAAAATCTAAACACACTTAGCATTGCAGCGAGAAATCTTTCACCAACGTATTATATCTATTACCATTCTATTACTTTAGGGTTTGTTTGTTGTTTTTTTATTTTTACATGTGGCAGGAAAAGAACTTCCCTTCACATCTTCACAAATACTCCCCTTAACTGACTGAGTCACTGATCCTTGCAGTGTGACTCTTTCCTCTTCTGCTAACAGCACGAGAGGTTCACATCACAGAGCTAGAACTATTTATCCTTTTCATAGCTCTGTTCTGAGATTTCTCATTTATACCTGTGTTATATTCTGAGAGATTAGAACAGGGGGTTTGAAGAGAGACCATGCTCCAGAATTCATGAGATTCTCTGCCCGCAATGATTTAGTATAACATCAGGTAGTCTGCTGCTTGTGAGGCTTTCAACTGGATGCACAGAGACGAAAATATGCTCCCCAAAATGTTCCTTAAGAGCTGTGTAGATACGTTAAAAGATTCAGATTTTATTATGCCTCTTTTTGGATTAGCCTTCAATTGCATGCTACCTAGGAGATATTTCTGCAGTTAAATCCAAAACTTCAGTAACAGACTTCACGATGCCTACCAAAAAGTAACAAAGCAAGACCTAATGTGTGACACAAAAGAGAAGATAGTAACTTACCCTAAAAATGGTGTAACTAGCTGGAGCAACTCTGAGCCAGAGACCAGCTCCTGGTTGAAGAGCGCAATGCAGCGGAGAAAATTTTCGTAGACTTCCTGACTCTTTAGCACCCTACGCACCTAAAGCACCGTTTGGAAAGAAATGATCAGATCACTTGAACACCACTTTATTTACTTCATATTTTAAGTAGACTGAACCATGGGTACAGGGACAAACCACTGTCTACATTGCAATATAAAAAGAGAATATGGACAAAAATGCCCCGTTTCGAACAATAATAACTACAGATGGTACCGTGAGGAACCACCACTGAAAAAATAGGGGAGAACACGTCTGTAAGAGACAAGCATTCAGGAAAGGGTTAACTATCAGTTTCTATTCAGCTTCCAGACCCATCTATTTCTCTTTTCTTGGTCTGTCTTTACCACTTGAGAAGTCAGGCAATTGCTAAGTGCTGACACACAGATTGCACATAAAACCAACCAATTAATAACCATATAAATGGTTGTATACAAGTCCGCAGACTGTGAGAACAGGCCAAATACTGACCTTGTCAAAGAAGGAGAACTCTTGCAGTGTTCCGTATTTTCCCACTGTCGCTACTGACAGATCTTTGGTACCTCGCAGTTTCATTTTCTTCTGTTAAAAGAACAAGCAGTTATACTTAAAATGTTGTGACTCAAATGCTATCAAATTCCAGATCGCTGACAGAGAACAGCTCTCTGCAAAGGCTGAAACTCCGTATTTCCCAATTAGTGATCTAGAATTGTTGTGTCAAGTCCTCCACATGAATCTCTATCAAATGACTCCCAGCTAAGAGAAAGAAACAACAAAACTAAAAAAGGATCACTTGAGAAAGTATCCCAAATAAGGGTTGCTTCACAGAAGCAATAAATTGTCCCTTTTCAAGGCCAATACTTAGTACAGAAGGTCCTGACACTTAGTATTCAACATGCTACCACACACATTTAAGCATACTTTAAAAATTCCTTTTTTCTACAGTAATTATTTTAAAAATAACTTTGAAATTGTTTTTCATACGTAACATCGACATTGTCTAAACACAGCAAGTAATATCAGGTTACTTTGTTTTTACTTGCTAGATATACTTGAAGATACCTTTGCTGGGCCAGAAACAGGACGCAGCAGCAGCGGCCTGGATCGTTTTTTGCTGTGTTCCAGATTCTTCTCATGCTCAGTTTTCTGGACACTGTTCACTTCACATGGTCCATTTCCTGTGAACTGAAGTAAATAAATAATGATTTCAATGTTCTCTTCTCCATTGGCACCAATAAGGAATCCCATATATCTGGGGAGGGCACAGTGCATGTAGCTAAGTCACCTGAACTGCAAAATGCCAAACAATGAAGAGGAGCAAAGTTCATCTACTGACTGTATGTTTTTCCATAGTATTTTGCAATCCTAAAGCTTCTTTATGTATTCTATACACAAACAGAGAGCGTTCAATATTCTGCCTTGCTCTAAGCACCCACGTACCAAAGACCTTTTAGCCTCTGGGAGGAACTGTCCAAACTCAGAAAGCAGATCCTCCTGTCCCCGGAACAGATTGGCTACTTCAGTGAACACTTCTTCCTCTGACATGCCTCGGAAGGGTCGGCCTTTAGTGTTCAGCTGCTCTTTCTGAAAAGATACCCACAGACGTTAAGAGTCAAAACCATACCTCACTCTGCAAGACAACTTGTCACCTCTGTAACAGCCAAAACCCTATGTTACACAAACTTCAAATAACTATCAGATAGCTCAAGGTTCTCACAGTGCATCCTTTAATGCATAATATCACTATAGCAGCTAAAGATTAGTGAAAATGGATCTACATTTCGCCCCTTTACACCTCAGACCCTGGAAAGTTCTACAGTTTTCACAATTTTGTCATTTCACGTGAATATCTAGGAGGCAATTGTTCGACAAAGGCTACTGCTTGGGAACTGCATAAGCCTGTTCAATAGGCAGTCATTTCATTTGGCAGCTACCCCTGAAACAGCCACCGTGCAAACCCACAGTCTCTAATACGGATGACTTTTTACCTGGTAAGTATGAAGAATTTCTAAAAAGGATCTGTAAATTTCTGGATGGTCAAGAAAACGTGTTTTGATCTTATTCACGTAACTGATAGCATTATTGAACTCGACAGAATCAGACTCCAAAGGAATTTGGGATTTATCTTCTTTGTATGGAAGCTGTTGCCTAAACTCCTCGGAACAGTCACTGTGATTGTGCGAATTCTCCTGGGAGTAATGCAAGAGCAGCCCGCTGCCAGGGAGAGCGCTGGGGACAGGCTCTGAGGGCACCTAGTGGCATAAGACACAGAGGACGGTGACTCATACAGAAACAGAAGTGCGAGTTCAACAATCTAGCATCAGGATTTTCAAGCCGTTTAGCTAAAAAAAGATTACCACGTGAAGAAGAAAGAAGAAAAAGAGTTTAATTAGCCAATAAATTTCCCTACCAAGTTTATTAACATCATCAGTTAAATACATCCCGTAAGTCGTATCTGGCTTATGAACCATCTGACTCATTATTCCTGCTTTTGACTGCCACTGCATTATCCACTACACTCCAGAGGGTGAACCAAACAACATGCACTGCAGCTTCTGTTACCGCTGTTTTATTTCAGAGGAACTGTCAGCTTTAAGAGACACAGTAATACGTAAGGCTCTTAAAGATGCTAAATTTCTAAGCAACAGAGAGATCTAAGGGAACTGAGATCTAAAAGATATTTATTGCTACTAATTAGAGTTAAACCACAAGTTTATCAGTATAATTCAGGTAATAGCTTTGTTTCAGCCTCCACAACCACATAACACCACCACAGAAGCAGCAGAGGCCAATACATATCCACTTGTATTACAGCAGGTGTCTTTCACTGCAGGATGTTAGCAACTGCATGGCAATACCTGACATATTTTTGGTCTACTGCCTAAACACATTTCCCAGCTTCTCAGTGGAAGACTGGAGATGCGATTCTTGATTTCTTTGAAATTTATCACTACACACACCACGTATTGGGAACCTATATACATATGACAAGCCAATTACAATTTCAGTTTTTAAATCTGACTGAAATATTTGGAGTTGAATTGGCACTCCGTGCGGGAACATCATTGTTGTGTAAGCTAAACTAACAACTGGTTTCAGAATAAACATTTATATTGTAACCATTATCATAGGCTTTGAAAACCATGTAAAAACTTCAGCAACATGCAATACACATAAACCTATGTAGCCTAAGCTGTGCTAAAGATGTGTATAACAACACATGTAACACAATTTATTCAGAGAATATGAGCTCTATAACATACCTGACTGTTCAAAGGTGACTGTATACTTAACTTCCCATTCTTTGGAATTTCTATCCTGTAGCCCAGAGGGAGGAAAGCATTGAATCCTACAATGAGATCAGGATGCTCATGGAAAAGCTGTGAAACACGTCGGATGACTCCAGGTGTGTCAATGCTAAAATTGAGAAGAGTTCTGTTACTTGTGTCCAAATCAGAAATACAAGTGAAGCCTAGAAAATTACAGAGCTGTGGGAAGCACCTGGCTTCTTAGAAGTGCCATTTTTAACAAGCAAGTTTGGGAACCTCAGACATAGAAATCAGCCCAAGCAGAGGGAATGACCACTGCAGCCTCACACTGGGAGTGTTATCCACAGAGAGAAGATACGTGTGTGTGGGCTACCCAAAACAGGCAAGACAGCCATCACCTCTAGGGCTGACACGTCACAGATTTGCTCTGCACTCAAGCTTGTCCACCTATTTCCAAGATCTGCGTTTCAGAGTGGGAAGTAAAAATAGATTTGTGTTTTCCTGTGGATTTGGGCTCTGGAAAACAATGGGACGGATGTGATCCCCCTCCAATGTCTAGTGACTGCGCTGCTGGGGGACAGGCCAGCAGGGTAGCCTACGTGTCTGCAGAAGTGGGAAGATGGTGTGAAGCTGGGTGACCCTGCAAGGGCAGAGAGACCTCCGCAAAGACTGAGGAGCTCCCTGGAGCAGCCCTGAGGCGCAAGCTTTACCTCTGGCTCTTGAACTCTTTCATGATCTCCAGGAAGCCGTTGTAGGTGGCGGGGTCACTGCCAAAGCGAATCTTCACCTGATCCAGGTAGGAAAGTGCATCCTCCACCTGCAGGATGAGAATGTGGGTGAGGCCCAGAAAGGGGGGGACAGGCCCTGGGGCATCCCACAGTCCCAGAATGGGGACAGGAGCACCCCATGGCACTGAGCTAGATGGAAGTGAGATCTGGGTGGTGAGCCCCATACAGGGAAAGGGAAGCAGCCCCTGGTACCAGACCAGGGGTTTCGTGAGGCAGGCAGGACCCGGTGGGGCACCACCGTACGGGGGAGGGTGGACCTCACGGTGCTGAAGGAGGATGGCAGGGCACGGAGGGGGGCACGGTACTGGGGAGAGGGGAACAGGTCCCCGGGGAGGGTAACCGCGGTGTCAGCCGGGCTGGGGAGGGTA